GAGCATCCAGAGTTCATCAAATAATACTCGAGACCTCCAAAAATCACCTCAGATTTCCATTCCCTTGCCCAATACATAATCCTTCGCATAGGTAAATTCGGTTAGTGTTTGCATTTTTTTCTCCAGCTTTGATTTCAAGTAACTCTCATTTCAATTGATTGTTAATTACGTGTTTAAACCCAAAAATTGGTCTTCTATGTAGGTAAGAACATGAACATGATATGTTGAATGAAGCTTTCAATTTCCTAAAGAAAACTAGAAAAATAGAGAGAGAATAAGAAATTGGGAAGAACAGGAGAGAGAGAGTCGTTAGGGTGATTGATCCGTTTTTTTCCAAAATGTTCAACTGGGCCTGTTTCTGGGTTAAAGCCCAGTGAGTAAAAAAAGAAAAAGGATGCGCAAGCTGGATCAATTTCAGTCCAGCCCACCCCTTCCTTTGCGAAAAAAGAAAAAGAAAAAATAGGGTCTGGACGGTCCAGCCCAGTCCGCCTCTTTTGTTAAAAAAAAAAAACGAGACAAAAACGAGGTTGGAAGTCTCCCAAAATAATAATAATAATAATAAATAATAAAATTAGAAAAAGGAGAATGGGTAGGAGAGAATAAGTCATGGGTTAATGATTTGGAACCCAAAATAATTTCCTTTTATATGTTAAAATTTTCTCCTTTTTTTTCTTAGCCTAATTTTTCGTTGTTATTTTTTGTTGCATTTTCTTACAATAATTTAGGATTGATATTTTATTTTATGTTATGTTATGAGATTAATAAAAAAAATAATAAAAAAATTTAAATTTTTTGGCGAAGTCTCCTACCTGGTAGGAATTGACGTCACAATATATATATATATAATTTTCAACAAAGTCTCCTATCCGATAGGGACCGACATCACCAAAAAACATCTAAAATTTTTGGTGAAGTCTCCTACCTAGTAGGGACCGATGTCACAAAAATAAAATATATATCTAAAATTTTCGACGAAATCTCATATCCGATAGGGATCGACGTCACCAAAAATCATTATCCTCCGACAAACCAGCTTATATCAAGGCTTAAAGTGGATCCGATGTTTGAATCAACGTGTCGCCCGACGATCGTTTCAATACGATGCCACGCCCAAAACTAAAAAACTTAATTTTTCTTTAAAAAAATAGTAGTTTAAAATCAAAAAATAATTTGACATAAATAAAACATTTTAGAAGATGAATTTAGAATTAAATTAGATGTGATACCTTTCTTCGAAAAGGACACTTTTTGGGTGATTAAATATCTTTTCAAAAGTGTAATCAACTACTTGTCATAGAATCTCCGAACCAGTGCCTATTTTTTGGTTCCTAATTACTTCAATACTAGGTAGCGACTCCAAACTCGTAAATAACAATTAACACTTAGAATTTAATTTCAAGGAGTCTCGTCCGATATCAAGTAGCGACATTACTGCTGAAGTGATGAAGGAAATGACGAGCAAGAAGGTGGGTTTGCTTCTGATGGTGCTCTTACATTATAGCCATTGTTGGTCATTTCATGACTTCTGTCATGCGCTAATTTCAACTCTTAGACCACATAAGTAACTTTTGCATCCGATCACCTGTCCCATGCCTTCCATTTGTTGATTATTGGGCTAATAAAACCGAGATTAAATGTCTTGTCTAGGTTTAAAATTATTGAGTTTTCTATGATAAGAGCATTGGTTGTCTCCAATTTTTTGCTTTTACAAAAAAAAGGGGAGGAAGGTACTGGTAGTGGCGGTGGAAGGGAAGAGTGTGAGGAAGGAGAAAGAGAGAGAGAGAGGAACCTTGATTTGATTTAGGATTTTTTCAAAATTTCTTTTTTTTTTTTTTTTTTGATTTAAGGGATGGGGTATTTTGTAATTTCATAGGGTCATGCTAGTCAAAAATAAAGGCAACACATGCCTTTTGTTTATTAAGTCATATTAGCATCACGTACAAAAAACGTGCTAGAGATTTGATTTATGAAATCGGCCGACTTAATTATAAATTAAAAAGTAATTATAATACTTGAATTGAAAAAAATTAAGCTAGGATACTAATCAACTATCAACATACAGTGCATGGTACTATTGAACCATTTAGTTGATCGCTAGCTAATGCAAACAACACATGTGATTATGCATCCATGAAAATCATCCTCTCTCTTTTTCTCTTTAATTGTTTTTTTTTATCATTATTATTACCGTAGAAGGTTAGAACAGTAAAGAAAATATTTTTTACTCACTAGATTACATGTTCAATTCTCATATTTGAAAAATCTCTTCATTTTCTTTATCTAGTTAGACATAGACTTTTTGTAGTTTTAAAGAGTTCAATTTTTTGAATCAACTAAAAATTAAATGTGATGTGGAGCTGATTTAGCCTGAAAAATAATAAATTTAATTTTAATTGACATTACAAAATACCCGAATATATATATATATATATATCATCCTCTGTTCCTTTTTTTTTTTTTTTTTTTTGCCCTTTTCCAATTCAGTGGGACAAGCCCCACCGCACCTACAGACTACAAAAACGGGTAAAGAAATTTCGATCGTGCCTGGAAACAAAGAAATTTAAGTATGTCATGTCATCTGAAACTTGTGTTATTCTTTTTATCTACTAAATTTTTTCTTTATTTCTTATGCACTATTTGTCAAATTAATTGATGAAAGTCATTTAAAAAAATCCTACTTCATTGTTATTTGAATTTTGGCTCAAAGTCTTTTATCAATTAAACTGTCAAAATCAAGCACTATCTTAAGCAAATCAAATCATGTACGTGCTCGCATGAACACATGTGAAAGGTAATCACATCCCAGCAAGGATGCATAAACTGCAACAAAAAATTGAATAAATGAATCCTTTCGAAATCCCAAGCTCAATCGATAATTTTATACATAAACCAAGGAAATATATTACATGATTGCAACTAAAAATTTTGGAAATGAAAAGTTAATAATAAATTATCACCTATATGATCATTCAAAACAAAGCAATCATCTTTTACGAAGATATATATAAAAACTAAGAAGATAAACTCTTTTTTTTTTTTTTTTATAACTCGGGATGTTTGGACTAACTTGCACGCACTATTACTAATTCCCGTATCCACCGAACATCCTATAAGCCCGAGTGAGTAGGTAAGGCACCGTAAGGATGACAAGCATGCACGGAGAGAATCGAACCCGGGTGGTCATCGGATAAGCCCTCAACCGCTAGGCTACGACCTCGAGCATAGAAGATAAACTTTCTTACTTCATCAACGTGGCTATATTATAAGGTCCATCGAGGGTATCCAAGGTATCCACAGAGATGAGTTCGCAATAGCTTTGGGTTCTGATGCTTCTAAATTGGGCTTAAACTACCCTTTATTTAAGGAATTAATGCAGCTTATTAAATATGATTGGAAGGTTATCTTTGTTACATTTACGGAGAAAGCAATCCGTATATAAATTGGTTGGCAAATCAAAGTTTAAAATTCATCCACAAAACTTCAGAGTTCATTATTTTAACTCTTCTTCAATAAAAATGTGTAGCATTCTATATCAAGATATTATAAGGATTACCATTCCTCTTCAGATTTGCCTGTAGTTTTGTTTCCTAAGCGGGTTAGCCCCCTTCTTTTTCTCATTAAAAAAAATTAAAGGTAATGAATTGTTTATGGTTTGATGACAGGTTTGTAAGTGACACATAATGACATAATGAAATAAGGAGTACATGGGTCTTTTGGTGCATTCTCTATTGCCTTTTCTAATGATTATGGAAATTGAAGGTCACCGAGTGATCTTACTAACTATATATTTAGGGTTGGATCAGATCTTAACGTGGGGTTCTTGTTAGAGATTGGGTTGAATTTTTGAACTTGTTGCAGTCTGAAACAATATATACTTGTGAAAATCTCCAATCATTATGAATAACTTGATCTAAAACTTGAGAAGGTATAATTTTTGAAACCTAGATTGGAATCAGATTAGATTCTGCAGGCTTAGGAATTGATGAGGGAACAGACTCTAATGAACCAGGAACAAAAAATGAAACTGACTCTCCTGGACGACTAGGACAACTAGGGAGATCAAGAGCACAGACTTATTAACTTCAATCCAAATTAAAAAGTTTAAGATACAATTTAAGTACAAGGTATTAAAACCTAGTATAAGGCGGACATATAAAAATTGTTAAGCCCAAAACTGTTGCGAACTTGCATATATCCAAACAGGTCTCATAACATAGCCACATTGGTGTTAGGAAGTTATCTTCTAAATTTTTAATAGATTGATGCATGCAAGTAAATATCTTCCTAACAATAATGTATTGAAGCAGACTTTTTTTTTTTTTTTTTCTAATCTGCTATTGTGAAGAATTTATTTTCATGAAGTGCATAGTATACTTTTGAAGGGTTTAAAAATATTTGGCTTTTAGAGTTTATTATGTAATTTTTTTTAATTCGTATTTAGATTTTTTTTAACTCTATTTTTTTCATATTCATAAAACAACATTTTATTTTAATTATTACAATTAAATAATAAATCACGTAACACATGGATAATAACCTAGATTCTATTATAAAATTTGAGGCAGACATTAATAATTCTCAATAAGATTTGACGTGTCGCCAGAAGTAAATTCAAGCTCTGTCATCTAAGGGCTTAAGGAGTCCGAGTAGAACGGGCCTGGACTCTAATCCAATTGACGGCCGTTACCGTTTCCTCACCAATTGAAGGCTGAAGCAGGTCACCTAACCCCAACTGGCCAGGACTGCGTCAAGACTCTCTAGACCGTTTCTTTTTTTACGTTTATTCTTTTTTTTCGTCTTTGTTTAATCTCCGATACGTCTAGTTGTTCACAAATCGCATCGGCATCGCCCAATTTCCTCTCTTCCACGAATTTCTCTGCATTCAAAATTCAATTGTAGAAAACGAAGAACCGTTTACCCCTTGCATCCCTCTCAACTTTTTCCCAAATTTTAGGGTTAAGGTTAGACTCACCGATCCGTAAACCCTAAACAATTAATCCATGTCGAAACTTTCAATAATTTCAACATTATGCTTCATAATTTTCTTATTGAGTCTCTGCTTCCCTATCGCGCGATCGGAATCTGGCGCTGCAGTATTAATTCAAGAAGTGACAAGCGAGGATGGTAAAGGTGATGTGTGCGCAGGGTTAAAAGCACCTGCATCATGCCCGGTCAATTGTTTCCGTGCGGACCCCGTTTGTGGCGTTGATGGTGTTACTTATTGGTGTGGGTGCGCCGACGCTATGTGTAGCGGCACTCGTGTTTCTAAATTAGGGGCTTGCGAGGTTGGAAGTGGCGGCAGCACCTCTCTTCCTGGTCAGGCACTTCTTTTGATTCATATTGTCTGGCTCATCTTACTTGGGTTTTCTCTCTTGTTTGGGTTTTTTTAGTTTGACAGATTTGGAATTTCACTTTGATTCTATGTCTATTTCTCCATATTATTTGTGTTGTGCTGAGGTTGAGGTGATTAGAGCTTGTGCGAGATTTTCCTATGTATGTAAAAATATTCGTTGAGTTAATACCATAGAGTTTCATTCTTTTTTACTGATTTTTTTATGGTTCTATGTTACTTGATCATCTTGATGCATATGGGTATTGTGTTCCAGTAATAGGAACCTGTTTTTTTTTTCAACACAGGTTGCACATTGATTGTTGTAATGAACGTTTGGATGGTCCCCTTTGTTGTCTAGAAAGAGGTAATGGTATACAAGAATGCTTCCTAGGAGATTCTAATATCAGCTAGACCAAGTTTGTATGTGAAACAAGAACAAGGAGAACCTATTATCTGCTGTACTCCTTGATCTTTACAAGGAATAAGGCCATTCAGAGTTCAACTAGTATTCTGGCATGTATAAAAACATCTAACATTAGGCTCATGTAGAGATGTATATGGTTCTTGCAAAGATATTCCAATAGAGGAATGGTATCACTCTCGCCTCCTTTAAATGGAAAAGGATAACCTAGAATTGTCTTTGATGCTTTAGAATTTTTTGAAAGGCATTTTCAGAAATTTGTGTAATGTGTCCACATTCATTTGAAGTTTTCTTTTGTCTGCTCAATCATCCCAGTTGTTTACTTGACAATCAAATTGTAAGCTATTCCCATTCCAAGTGTCATTGCAAATTTACTACTGCAAGAATTGTAGAGTTCTATCCTGATAATCACTGCATTGTACAGTTCCATGCATAGAAAAGAGCCAGAAAATTTTTAGAGCAAACTTTCAATATGAAGTAACTTCACTAACTTCACTATAAATCTTGAACTCACATTTTTATACAACCCCATTTTTCGTATGTGCCTTGTTGCTTTTGTCCTGGCACCATTTTCTTTTCTTTCCACTGCAATTCTTTTGGAGTAGGCATTGTTTATTCATAAAATATTTGACTCCAAGAAGTGCTTCGGAATAAAATGACAATAAAACCAGACCAAGCATGGCTGGTTGCAGACATACAACATAAGGACATCATTGTTTTGATCAAACAAACATCAGAATACTCAATATTGCAAGTTTTACATGTAAGAAGATATTATGTATTGCCTTAAACTTGCAGAGACAGATGTAGAAGCAAGCCCGCTAAAATTTACAAGCAAGCACAATTGATAATTGCTTATGCAAAGCACGGATAAGCATTTTCGTTATTTTTTTTTTTTTTTTTTTTTTTTTTTTTTTTTTTGGAACTGAGCAAGGTAACTATGGACTTCGATACTGATAAGCAGGTATGAATTTCATTACCATGTTAAAATTACACGTAGTAATGTCAGCCGAAATGCTAGTGAAATGCATCTGAATACAACGAAAAAACAGTGTTTATCAGGATGACCATCACCCTAAGTTTGTCATTAGATAGGCAAATGATCTCACCTGGTTTAGCTTTTTTTTATTATTATTTTGTGGGCAAGTGTTGAATATGCAAGTCGTTCTTAAATTTTGCAACTAAGGAAACTTAGTTGCATGTTAGCCTGTGAGAAGCGCTCTCGAGCTACAGATTGTCATGTTTCCCAACAGACACCTAACATCCCAAAGGTTTCTTTTTAAGTACTCTTACGGAGGTTGTTTGGACGCTTTTCAAGAAACGCTGACAGAAATTTGATACTCCTACAATACCAATGCATTCATGGTGCGAACGGTCTTCGCACCCTCTTCTGAAAGGATGCCATTACAAGCAAGTCGACGCCTCTGATAAATCATGGCTCAATAATTTACCAGCAAGTTTTCCATGCCAACTGAACGACGTGGCGATTGTGGTAACACCCCCAACCTCCACCTTCAAGGAGACTATCTAACTAGTCTGACAAACTATCAGTGAACAATTGGACAACACTCAAATTAAATGAGTAAACAGATCTTGGGTGTACAACAATCTGTTCTTACCATCACTTGTAATAGTAATTCAAAAAAAAGGCTAAAAATGTCAAACCATCCTTAAACTTTTTTGAACTTTAATTAATTTAAAAATCAGTTTTAAAATTTTAAATTTATATTTTGACCTATCTCATTTTTTATTTTTTATTTATTTAATGCATCGTTTTCTGTCAGTTATTTTAAAAAAAAACAATTACATAAATAGTTTTATGATAAAAAAATATTCAATAAAATTTATCTAGAACTTGTCAAAAAAAGTTTAAATCATTTCAAATCATTTTATATTTTTCATGATTTTTTATATTTTTAATGTTCAATATATATATATATATACACACACACACTCAACCTTGAAAATTTTAGATTTTTTCTAGAAAATGAATTGGATTTTTCTCAAAATGGGTAGAAATTTTCAAATCAAAATACCAAGACTTGAATTTTTTAAAAAAGATGAGTGATCGTTGAAAATCATTTAATGAATTAAATCTTCGAAAAAAAATAGAAAGGTCAAAACACAAATTAAAAATTCAGAGATTAATTTTCAAATTAACGAAAGTTAAGGGGAGGTTTGACCCTTTGAAACTTCCAAAAACTCTCAATTTGAACCCTCCAGCATAAACAAATATAAACTCATGTCTACCAAATGAAAGCATGTGAAAATGTCAATCCTGTCATTTTGATCCCAACCAAATGACAATAATGATCAGCGGCAGTTAATTACATAGGAAAATCTTGCCTCCTGGTGCACAGGAAATAAAGGGACAAAACAAGATCATTACGATTTAATACTGCTCAAGACTTATTACATCAGATACTGGCTTCAGTCACCTTTCAGAATCAGAGATTTAGGGTGTATTTTCCCCAGTCCATGCTTCAAATTGGCCTCTTTCCAATGGACTTTGTTGGAGCATGTTATGTAGAAACCACTGAAAGAAGAGTAGAGAACAATAATTTTCATAGAACTCTGATCTATTAAGACAATAACTTAACACATATTAGCAATTAGTACTCATCCAGTGGCCTTGAAGACTTGGTCAAATTTCCATATGTGTAGATGTCATTTAATTTCCAATCTGGTATTGGCTCTAATTGCTACTTGCATCTTTGCTACTGTGCAAGGTGGCAGTCCCTCTGGAAGTTGCCACAAAATCAGATATTAGAGTCACAAAAGTAACAAAATAGAAGAGACAATAAGAACCAGAAGCCAAGACCCAACAAAACATTTTCAAGTACCTCCGTCTCTTCAGCATTGTAGTATGATGACCTGTTCGGTGCATTAATGCTTCACTGAAAGATTTGTTAATCTTTCTTTTCGAACTGATCTTGTAGTGTGATTTTCATTGAGCAGATGACTATTAATTCCAATCTGGTGTTCCAGTTTGTCCCGCTCAGCGTTCTGCTGATCATTAACAGTAAAAGAATCGCAAAACACTGACTTGGACTCCTAGCATATGGCTCCATGTATGGTTAAAATGCTCGCTTCAAGAGTATCTGAAAGGAGTTCTGTGAGAATTATTCACTCGCCAGCACAAATAATTCTTTTAATCCTTGAACCATCCTCATGAGCGAAAATTTGTTTCAAGGAGAATCATCCTTTTGGCGCATAATTGATGCCTTTTGGTACCTTAGTTTCTCAATCTCTTTTGCTAGAAAGTCCAAAGTGGTGTCTGTGACATGGTTTGGCAAGCAGCCTGCGTCCAACATCATTTTTAAGAACTTATATGCGTCTTTCAACTGACCTGCCTTGCTATGAACTTCAATCATAGTATTATAAGTGACCACATCAGGATTTAATCCATTAGACTTCATATGTTCAAAAAGCTTGTTAGCTTCATCAATCCTACCAGCCTTTCCCAGTGCATTAATTAAGGTGTTATACATAACAATGTCAATGTAACCACCTTGCTTCATTAGGTTATCTAGAACGGAGCTGGCTAGGTCTGCTCTCCCCATTTTCCCCAACCCTTGAATCACCACATTGTAGGTTCCAATGTCTGCTGGGCAAACCTTTTCACCCATTTCATTAAAAACATCCCATGCCTTGTTGAAATAACCCTTCTTCACAAAAGAACTCATGATGGAATTGTAAGTGTAACTCACAGGATCCACACCCATATCAGTGAATATCTCAAACAACTTGCAGGCCAAGCTCAGCTTTCCCTTGGCCAAAAATACAGACAAGAAGGTATTCACCATATCAATATCAAAAGAGTCTGCCCCTTTATCTCGAACTCTCTGGCCCCGAACCAGTGAATATAGCTGAGAAGAAAGGTCAGTGGACTTCGCTTGATTGGCCAAATGATCCATATATGGAGATGATGACCACTGATCAATGTCAGCTGCTGAACTCTTCTCATCCTTAGTTGCTCCATCATCTGAACCCGAGTTGGGGGAACTTATTAAACTCATAATTTTCTGGAGGCCACCTTTAGATGGAAACAGTGGAGTATAATCCTCTCTTCTGCTCTGTGGATCCTTCAATGAAGCCTCCATATCTGCCTTCCATTTGAGAACATTTGGTACTAGATTACCATCCCTTACGAGCTTCATCAACCTCTCAGTGAAATCCCACCTACCCTGTTTATGAAACGCAATCAAGAGCGATGTTATAGTAATTAGGTCAACAACAAAGCCTCTTTCCTCCATTTCTTCCACTACGTGCAGTGCTTCCTCAAGATGACCTTCCCTACAAAGTAGCAACACAACAATGCTGTAGGTAACAGCATCCACAAATTGACCCTTCTTTTTCAAGTCACAAAATAAATTGTAACCAGCCTCAGCCCTGCCATTCTTGCACAACCCATCAATCAGAATATTGTACGTCCAGCATGAGGCCCTTACTCCATCCTGAACCATCTTCTCAAACAACTGGCATGCTTCCATAACTTTCCTTGCTTTGAACATCCCATCTAAAAGAGAATTGTACACTACGGTATTTGGAAGGAACCCATTGTACTGCATTTCACTAAAAATCTTTGTTGCATCATCCATTTGATAAGATTTACAGCACCCTTGAATGAGAATTCGGTAAGTAAAGGCATCAGGCTCATGACCAGACAGCTTTAATTCCTCATACACGATCACTGCATCCTTCACCTTCCCAACCAAGCACAACACATGAATCATGCTATTATAGGTGCACAAATCAGGATCAAATGACCCCGAAGCTGAACTCTTTTCCTTCATCTCTTTAAAAAGCCTCAAAGAAGTAGTCAGATCACCCCAACAACCAAAAGCGTGAATGCAGATGTTGTAACCCCATGTATTCAACTCAAACCCCTCTTTCTCCCTCAATCTATCAAAAACCGTTTTGAATTCTACTTTCATATCTCCCTTTCTAAGCGCAACCAACAATGCATTGCATGCAATGGAGCCCGGAAGTGAAACACCAAGAGCATTCCCTTTATTACCACCAGAGGCTTCTAGAAGCTTCAACAATATAGACAATGCCAAACCCACCTGGTTTTTCTTAGCAAGTGCAACGATAATAGAATCATACATATGAGGGTTCGGGTTAGTCCCCAGTTCTTCCATGTGATCAAGAATGTCAAGTGCAGCGTCAAACTTCCCGAGTCGAATAAATGCATCAAGCAAGAACTTAAAAGTTTCAGACCCAACAACAACACCATCATTCTTCATTGAATTTAGCAAATTAGGAACTTCTTCAAGGTACCCAGAACGGCACAAAGTGACAAACATTTGAGAGTATGTGCTCACGGAGTGTTTGAAATTATTCCTGAGAGAACACCATTTGAAAAAATCCATTTTCTTAGAGGTGTCAAGTGAGTTTTTGCGTAGGATTTGGAGTACCAGAGAGTCTGAGAGAGGAATGGAATCTGGGTCCAGATTGCGAGTGCCGGATTCGGAGAGGGTCTTGGTTAGATAAGCCATCAGGAGTATGTTTCCCATTTGGTATGATGATGGTGGTGGTGGTGATGTTGATAGAGGGATTCTTGTGTGGTGCACTGTGAGATTTGGTTTTGGGGTTTTCACTGAGAATCCAAAACATGAATGCCTTAGTTGTCCGATTGTTGTTCTGCATTTTGACATTGCTTCCACCTGATTCCTGTTGCAAAGGATTAAAAGAAGAGGATCGGATTCTGTGTTTGAAACACGACAGTGGTTACGAAAGCAGAACCATGAGAGCAGAAAGAACAAAGATTGAGGAGAAGAAATGTCCTACTCCAGCCTTCTTAGTTTTCGTTAGGATGTAAGTGTAGTAAGGAACTGTATAGCATAAACGCAGATCCTTGCGCCAGGTACTTAACTCGGCTTTGCTTGCCTTTTTATCTATTTGTTATTTTCAGGGTTGGGTTTGGTCCGATTTTAGACAGTCAATTATATATATATATATATATATATATATATTATTAGGCACTTCCCTTCAACATTTGAATTATACAAAACTAATATATATTTATTTTATTCTGAAACTTGAGAATTCAAGACAATATGATTTCTTAAGAGTCATCGCTGATATATGCTGTCCTGAATTTGGTGAAACAATATATTGCAATAAATTTTAGTATCCCGGACTGGAAAATTGCTTTCTATCGGTCAGGAATACTTTTGGAAGGTTTCAACTTATCATATGCTGTATATGTAAAAGGATGAGCATTTCACCACGAGAGTTATAGACAGAATAAAAGTTAAATAACTGTTTAGTTCTGGTGAAAGAAACTGCAAGGAAACACCTCTCTTTATTTTAGGGCTTATCCTCATTTGGGTTCCTTTTTCGGTTTCAAGATGATTATCAGTAAAAAGAAAAGCGAAGGAGAGACAATAGAATCAAGTTCAACGAACACTATCTGCTATCAGAAATCTTATTCATGCACTTCCACCTGTATAACCTACATATGTTCATGTGTACTTCTAGCCTTAGGGAATGTACAATCTCATTTATAGTATAGTGCTACCGAGAGTATTCCCAGAAACTACTACCATAGAAAGAAACTAATTCTTCTCACATGTTAATCGTGACGTCTTCAAACACCAATCAGTATAGTTTTCAAAACTAATCTTGTAAATGCGTGACAGAAGGGTAAAAAACATAGCTTGCACAAGTTACGGTTACAAAGCATCCCATTGGCAACTAATTTACTTTTAAGATTTGAAATGTTGTTCTTACAATCACTGGAAGTTGAAAGTATTAGATACTTAGCAGAAAGGGATGCTCGAGTCAAATCTGCCTCCAACTTTCAAAAGATGCTGATTGCTTCCTGCATATTTTATTGCCGTATGTCCAGTAGCATAAAGGCTCAAGTCATATAGAGCCTTCCTCTCACTAAATATGGCCATTGGCCAAATTGATTACCAAAACTCATGACATGTCTATGAGGTCATGTTTTTATGATGCATAAAATTAGCTTAGCATTAATTTGTATTTGATTCTATGTTCTCCAACTACAAAGAAAAAAGATCTTGCAGAAGATTGCATGAAGAGAATATTAATTAAAAAATGGAAAGTCCTTCGCACAATTATATGGCATTTTGATTATGTAATCATGTTTGTTCCCCTTCCGGAAGTGGCGAGCTTATATATTGATGAAGATTATCAGTCCGGTTACACTGCGATAGCATACACTTGTATATATATATTAGAGAGAGGAACTATTCTTTGACTACTGTTTCTTCTCCAAAATTTCTTTCTATACTGCACTGATAGAGAAAATATGAGTGACGGAGGACAATGGAAGCCTGTTGTCGGAATGGTGGTTGTTAATTTTGCCTTCGCAATGGTGAATTTACTTCTTAAAAAGATGCTGGATCAAGGAACGAACAATATAGTTATTGCTACATACAATTTCTGCAATTTTCTTGGCTCCCATTGCGTACTATTGGGAAAGGTAGTAGCTACTTCACCTCTCCCTTTCTAATAGTCTTTTAGCAGCTGCACACCTACTTTTTCATGCTTGTTTAGTTCCTCTGAGCTCAATTGTGACGTTTGTCGACTAGTTAGTCTCTGTTGCTCCTTCAATTGGAAATAGCACTGAGTTTAACTTGGAGGATTGACTTGAATTCTTTTATGGACAAAGGTTTTTCCAAGAGGCTGTAATATAGCTAGTTTTCTTGCAGGAAAAACAGACCTAGGCTAACAGCTTCCATCTTCTGCAACCTCTTCCTCAGTGCCCTTGTTGGGTTAGTCAAAATATACTTTATAATAATCTAAATTCTTCTCTGTTATGCAATTGTTCATTTCCAATATATAATTACAATTACCATGTCTATTACAGAGAAACACTGAGAATTATTATTAATGTCTATCAGGTTAACACTCACACAATACTTATTCCTTCTGGGACTCGAGTATATATCTGCTACCCTCTCGTGTGCGTTCCTCAACACGGTCCCTGTAAACACGTTCATACTAGCACTACTTTTTGGGTAACCACAACAAGCAATGAGTAATTTACTGCCTTTCCTGACCAAAAATAATGTTCTTCTGTAATTGGTGTTAAAACTCTTTCCAGTCTAGAAAAAGTGGTCATGACAAGCAAGGCAGGAAAAGCGAAGGTGTTGGGTACATTTATTTGCATGGGGGGAGCTGTCCTACTAATCCTTTATAAAGGAATGCCATTAACCAATTCACATTCAGAAGCCACCACAACTGACATCCTAAACCATGCAGATACTATGATCTCAGGTAAGAAGAGGCAGAGTTGGGTAGTTGGTTCGATACTTTCTCTTGCAGGCTGCTTCTCGTGGTCTTCATGGTTCCTCATGCAAACTAAGATTAGCAAAAATTATCCATGTCAATACTCTAGCACTGCCATCATGTCAATCTCTGGTGCAATCCAGTCAGCTGTCTTAAGTTTAATCATAAAAAGGAATTTTGCCATGTGGATTCTGAAAACGAAATTGGAGATCATAGGCGTCCTTTATGCTGTAAGTATCAGGACAACTTAAATGAATGTTGCTTGCTTGCTTACTTCACACAAATCAAGAGAAGAAGTTCCATTAATTTCGATTCAAACAGGAGGCTTGAGATATTACCGTTTCACTTCTTGCCACAGGGGATCATAGGTTCAGGCTTGTGCTATGTGGGGATGTCATGGTGCGTCAAACAAAGGGGTCCTGTATTCACATCTGCTTTCACCCCCTTCACACAGATATTTGCTGCTGCGTTTGATTTCTTTATCCTGCATGAACAAATCTATCTTGGAAGGTTGTTTCCTTTCATTATTATATATATATATATATATATATATATATATATGATGCTTTCACTTTGCAACATATTGTGTATTGTTCCTAACGTTCTGTAACTGTAATGAGCAGTGTCCTGGGATCAATCCTAGTTATGCTTGGTCTGTACATTCTCCTATGGGGTAAAAGCAATGAAGCAGTGAACTGTGGTAAGAAGCAAGCCCAACTAGCCAAGGAAGAGGAAAACCGTGACACAGAAGCACAAATATCAGTAATAAATTCGAAGAGTAATCCATAAAACCCCTTCAGGATTTTTAATAAATGCTCTTTCTGAGTAAATTATTTGGTGGGAGGAGGCTGGTTATTCAGCGCTGTAGTGAAAATGCAAGCAAATGATTTCCAAGTGTAACACGTGCGAGGACAATTTGAATGGATAGAACTGTCATTCTCTGTTATTCATTTTTTCAGCTGAATCTTAACTTGGCTTCCCCAATTTCCATGTATACTCAAATTTATACGATGCTATATAATTATACTCGATTTCCACTTGTGCAGTTAAAAACCGATGGACCCACATCCCCTGGTCTTGGAGTAGAGAATCTGTCTTGACTCCAACGGAAAGATGGACTTAATCTTACCGTCCAAAAGCTTGTTTTCGGACATCTTATCTGTACACAAAAAACAAAATAATAAAAAAAAAAAAAAGAGACGGACGAAGGACATGGTTATTTTTGACCTGGATGACAATAATTCGGATTAGAATGGAATCAAGAATACTTATAACCATTATTAGTTTTTATACATCGCAGTTAAGTTTGATTGGATTGGATGGAAGGCTTTATCTACTTATTAGATTAGACGCCTCCTGATATTATTAGATCCAATTCATTTTTTCTATACATAAATTGAAAAAATCCTTATAATGGAATAAAAAATACTTGTAATCATGATATAATGTGTCTTTCAAAACGAAAGACAAATGATCATTTATTCATTTACTTATCCCTAATGAAATACATATCGTTTCTAGTTATATGAAAATAAATCCAATACATATTATTTCTAGTTATATAAAAAATAAGTTTTCATAATCATGAGATAATGTGTCTTTCAAAACGAAAGACGAATGCTTATTTATTCATTTGCTTACCTCCAATGAAATACATATCGTTTTTAGTTATATAAAAAATAAGTTTAAAACATGTCGTTTCTAATTATATCAAAATAAGTCCAAACACTTGTCCAATTACCACCTTGCCTCCCTAACACCTTAAGTGATTCAAAAATCCTAATTTCATATATATATATATATATATATATATATATAAAGAGAGGAGCTGGGGAAATGGAGTTTTTGCTTTTGTTAAGGAGAGAGTCCGCTGGTGTTTAGAGATGAACAGTAGTGTCTAAAAAAATTGCAAGTGAAGGTATTTATAGATGTTTTTAGGTTTTTTTTTTTTAGCAAATTTTGTTTTGGTCCTTGGTTCTCAACAATTCATTAATTTGAGCTTTTTTTTTTATGGGATCCTTAAATTTAAATTAATTGGGAGTTTTCTTATTAATTTCCTTCAATTGTGCCCCTCTTTGTGTTTTCTCTTAAAATTTTTCTTTTTAATTACTTCATTTGTATCTCCTTCTATGTTATTGGTCCCAATTTTACAAAGATCTTACTTGGTCTGAAACCCCAATGATCTTATTACTCTGTGCTAATTATTCTCTAAACAAGCAGGAGCGTGGTCCTCGATTCACACAGAAGTTGAGAAGTCTCCAACATGGAACCTTTGATACCAAAGATGGTGAATATTATGAATGGGTTCACAAGGTAACTTATGAATGGTTTCTGTTTACTACGTTGATTTGTAGAGGCTCTTTTTCCAAATTTTGTTGGAGTTCGAACTGTTATTATTTCTTCTCATTTGAGTTTCAGCCGGAAATGGACACCAGCCGAAGGAGGTTTTTCTTGTGACTTGCATCAAATCATATACACCAGTTTATTTGTCTTGGCGTAGAAGCAAATTTTAGGACATTTCGGGTTGGTACCTGAACAACTGATGTTGAAATCCTGATTTCGATTTGTAATGTGTAATTTAAAATAGAGAGAAGAAATCGTGATGAGTTATGCCCAATTGTTTATTCAACTTTGGTAGAATAAATGAAGATTATATGAATATATTTATCATTGGATTATTTGTTTGACCCGTGATTATAATTTTTCTTTATTTCTTGCTTTCCTGTCTGATTGTGTGATGTCTTTCTCGCTCTTTTATAGTTGAAAGATGTTTGATTGCATTTTTATTTCCGAAGTAGGTACAAGTTTTATATTATTTTGGATTAAAAGAAAAAAAATTGTTGAGAATTCTTTCATCTTTTACGATTATAAAATTCATATCATCGCTCAGTCTGCCGCCAAATGTTGGATAAAGAAGTGTGGCATAGGTAAAGGACCTGACCCCATCGTGCAACGAGGCAAGGGAAGAACTGAAGAAATGAAGCAAAAAAGAACAAGAAAACAAATAAGTATTGGTATTCTGTACATTTGGTTTCTATTGTCTGTACAAGATAGAATTAGTCAAATGGCCCTCTGGCCTTCCAAATGGATGATTTACAATCTTAAAGCCTAGGACTGTCTTGTCCTTGCTGTCTGGTGCAAATCCTATCTGTCCAACTTTACATGTGGGGAATGCCATTGAATAATCTGAGCAGACAATTTCTTTATCATTTGAAGGCAAATTAACACGAGCACACCTCCAAAAGCAGCAATTCGCATCAGAGACTGTTCTGGACTTTTCCTTATTAGATAAATGCAGTCCGTGGTGATCAAGATCCAACCAAAACTTTCCAACATTGACTTGATTGACATGATCTTGCTCTTGTTCTCTCGAGTCAGCCTGCATAATATTCTTGAACACAGAGCTCCTACAACAAAAAATGTAGTTAATGACCAACCCCTGTACCTAATCAACCTTCCACCCACAACCAAAGCCTCTCTTCGACAGACACAAGATGGGCACTCGCCAGAAAATATAGACGAAACTAGAGCATCAAAACCTGTATAGTAGGGCAAGATAATGGAATCCAAGTACAGGCTTGCATGTAGAATTCCAGAAATGGTTGACGCCTCGAAGAATGCATACCTGATATCTTTATCAATGCCGCTATCGAATGTGAGGGCAGATACCTGAAGCAGTTGAAAAATTGCAGGACCAATGCAGGAGAGAGGGAATACGGTATTGATCCTGTAACCTTTGGCAAGTGCCAAGAGGATTATCGGGAGAGAAACCGGACCAGATGGTTGCAAGTATCTCTTTGATCTGCTGAGGTATGTTCGACCTCGTCTGGACAAATCTACTACCATAATGACCAGTGTTACCAGGTACAAAGCTGTTGTAAATAGAAAAACTAGAACATCCACATAAGGTGGATGATTCCCCGGGTAAGTGCTGTCGCAGTAGTAATGGTAAGGACAGTTGATTGGATCCATTGTGTCCTCCACCTGCCACCTAACACATTTGAAGAATGTCGCCTGGACATCTTCTGAAGCCCATTTGGGTTGGAATGCGGGATTCCGTCCATACAGTTGGCTATTCATAGTTCATAGGTTGCCTTACCCTCTTGCCATCTTGTTTCATCTATAGTTTTATATGAAAGAAGTAGAGGCTTTTTATGTTTTAAGCAACGGGCACTCTTTCTGTTGAGACGTTGTAGGTATAGGTGAGTAGATGGTGAAACACCATCTAATTTCTTTTCTTTTTCCTTGTTTAATTAAATATGGTTTTAATTTCATGTTTCAACTTTGAGAGATCATTGATTAAAAAATAGAATGTGGCTTGTTGACAAATACTACTATATGTCTTGTTTTCATCCATCTTTGTTTCATAATGGAAAGTTCTATATAGCTTTTTATGCCCGTGCCACCTCAGGTAATCTTCCACCCCAAAGAACCTGTTTGTTGCAGAATCACAAAGATGATGAAAATCTTTTTGAGGCTTTTGGATTAAAATCAGGAAACAACTTGTAGATTACTCATAATTATTATTTATCTATTTGTTAATTTGTTTTCAAGGAGGAGTTAGGAACCAATAGAGATGGGCAGGTACATTCAGCGACATAAGTAGTTTCAGGCAGCTTGAATCCAAAGCAATAATTGGTTGGTTGGTGATAGTTATAGATTTGGAGATGTGTACAACAGTGCTACCCGTCAGAGTCAGAGAGTAGTAATGGATGCTCTCACAGGGTAATGGAATACTGAGATACCCCACACAGCCAATGGTCGTGATTTGATAACCAACGTGTAATTAAGGAGTAATTCGAAAGCAAGGGAGCACTTTGATTATACATTTCAAGTAGTTGAATGTCTATTGTTGTGAAGCGGTATTATTTTAATTTTAATGTTTTTTCTTTTTTTAGGATAAGGATATTTTCAAACCATTTTAATTTATCAATCAAGACTAAAAGTATGCATTTCATCAATATTGTTTTAGAGATAAACAAATCATTTTTCAATATTTTATAGATTTGATTATATGTTGGTAATTAATTAGTTATAATCGTTTTGTAAATTACATATTTAATTCCTACATCTTAAATCTATTATAAAGTACGCATTTCATCAATTTCATATTCTTTTCTTCGTTTGTTTGTTTTGTTTAAAAAAGTAAAAGAAAATGAGAAGTAAATAAATGATAAATTTTGATGGAAAATAAGATATTTTTTAAACGAAAGACTATTAAATTGAAAATAATCAACGTGACTACTATTTAATTATTTTTAAGGAGAAATTTCAATCTAACATATTAGCTCATTACAGCGTCAAAATAAACAGCAATATGTTATAATGAATAGTTTTAACACCAAATCATGAAACAAAAAATTATATGACTAATGAAGTGGAGAAAAATACGAAAAAGTTATAATGATGTGAAATTAAAATTATTTTTTGGATAAATATATTCATTTGTTCTTATATAATACTTAAAGTCTTTTATATATTTTTAGATTTTTAATTGTATTTTATTTGTCTTTTGAATTATTTGAAATGTTCAATCTATCCTTTCGATTAAATTTTTCAACCAAATAAAAAATGTTTTTTACCAAAATAAATCTATCCTTCAAAAATTATTTGTAATGTGATTTTAAATGTTTTGTTTTTTTAGTAAAGGGCATTTGGTCAAAAAAAAATTTATGATTGAAAAGACAAATTAAACATTTTAATTTTTTTAAAAAGATGAAATGTAATTAAAAATCTAGAAACAAATGAAACATTTTAAATATTGTATAAAAATAAAAGAATATATATTTTTCTTTTTTTAGAATAAATTATTATTTGTTTTTACTCCTGATAAACCTTGAGGAAAGTTACGGTCAATCAGATAAGAAGATTTTATAATCATAATTAAACATTTTTTTTTAATTATGAGGAAAGCATTCATGGATATTGAGCTTAGGATTTTTTTTTTTTTCAAGGAACTTAGCCGCTTTAATTTAAAGGAAATAATCATAATTAAATTGGCATCTTACATATGGAAATTATCTCTATTTGAATCAGATTTTATATTTTCATAGCTAGACGACATAATTTTGTGGTCTACCTTGTTAAAATTCTTTGTATATAGACACGAGGAATTCCTAAAGCATGAATAAAATACAATAAATAAATAACAATGGGGGTCATGCAAAGTGGTGGGTATAAATTAAAACTACTTAAAAACCTGACCCAATTAGTAAATGTCGAACCCTCACGGATCCATGTGTGTCATGGGGAAACGTTTAAACTCTACAGGGTCCGAATCATGTTTTGAACACTGATCATATGAAAGTGAAGCACTCCTTGTTTAGGTAAAAGAAAACCGCGAATTTATGCGAAACCAGATGAATTTATTTGGTTTACGTAAACCGAAAAGGTCATGGATAAAAGATTTTTTTTTTTTTTCGATATAATTGGGCGTATCGCGCAAGAAATGATTTTGGTTATTTCGTACTTTCGATTTCTTCCCCCGCTCTTTTTTTTTCTCTTTTTTTTTCAGTACATAAGCCAGTCTAATTGACAATTCATGAAAATTTATTTTCTCTCATGTATTGCTAATACGAATTAGAAGGATATCTTTGAGATTTACCAAAAAACTAAAAAAAAAACTTTCAATTATTGTAACGTTACTATTTGAAACATTATAGACACTCTCATAATTCATTGTGCGTTTCATTATTTATTGCCTTTTTTTACGCTTTGATCTCTAATATTTTCAAACACATATTTCGATTCACATGTTCATTTACTCATCCATTTTGGTCCTTGGTGGAGAGAGAAGGCTGAGAGGAAGAGAGAGATGGAAGAATAGAGAAATCGCCGGCTAAGCTCATTATACCACTCGGCGGGCAAAAATCTACTAGATATTTTTATCTTTTAGAGATGAGTTTGTCCATGATGGTTTCAAGCCATTAAACAATTAGAAGAGGTAGATCGGAGCCAAAAAAGAAAAAAAAATCTGATTTGATTTTGTATTTTTTTTTGTTTTTGTGTATAGTAAAATGATTTTTAAGGTTTTAAATTTGTTCATTGGCTTTATTTCAATCATTTAGAGGTGTTTCGGGAAAAAAATGATGCTAAAATTTAATTTCTATGAGTCCGAAAGTTGACCTTCGATTTTTCGATGAACTTCCGACGACTTTGGGTTAGCTGGAATTTGCAAGTTTTTTTTTCTTTTTTTTTTTTTTTTCAGGCAAGGCCTGGCCACACATGGGCCTACCTATAGAAGCCAACCACTCCTAGCCTCCCTCACTTTTTTTTTTTTTTAATAATATGCAACCTGGTTGCACAAGCTAACCAGCGCTTCTCTCTCCCCCATATATATATATATAGAGAGAGAGAGAGAGAGAGTATATATTTAATTATGTTAATTTTTTAATTTCAAATTACATTAAAATTTTAAAATATTTTTTTCATCTTTGATTTTATATATTTTTATACATTCATGCTATAAAATAGACTCGTCAAATTAAAATAATTTTTTAAATGATTTTATTTTTTTTCCTACCCACAACATAGCGTAGGCAAAAAATCTAGTTTGAACTAATTAGTAATTAAGTGGTTTCTCTCCTTGTCATAATTCAAAATCAAATATTAGTGGAACCTACAGGAATATAGTTTAACAATTTTTTATTTTTTTATATGAGAATTAAGAAAATTAGAAGTTACAGTTATTTTTAGATTAAAAAAAATATATAAAGATCCCGTATGGATACATCTAGAAATCACATAATTCCTCATACCCTCTTCCTTTTGCTTTAATTTCTTTCTTCTTCTTCTTTTTTAATTGAGTTTCAGATTATTTTTTATAAATTTGAACAAGTTTTTTTTATTTTTATGAATATATAGGTTCGAAAGTTAAAACTTAATCTAGGAAAAAAATTTATCTTGATATAGGAAAACTAGCACAAAAGCATCCTTGCTGTTAACCAAAAATTGCAAAATTTTCATTTCATGTATTACTATAAAACTAAAAGAAATGGGGCAAATGAACAGTAAATGCTGTTTATTTGCCTCGGTTCACTGTTCATAACCGTGGCATGTTTGTAATTTTTTGCAACTTTTTTTTTAAAGAGATGCTAAAAGGAATGATCTACCCTTTCTCAAAGGTTGCTGAATTATGGAAAGAGATGACATGGAAACGGAAACTACTTTCCATGAGTTGGGAATAATTAATCAAACTGTCGCATTATATATATTTAGGCAGAGTTATTTGAGTCGCTATTTTGTAGGTTTTTAATTTTATGATTTTCCCCTTTTGAATTACTATTATTATTATCATCATCATCATATATATTTCAAAAATAAATTATTTATTTATTTATACTTGATAAAAAGGGTCGATTGATGTTATGATTCTATATCAATTTAGGATAAATTACAATAATCCTGTTAAATTAATATAAAATAATGACTTGAAACAGTACAAATCACCGATTAAAAAAGAATCTTTTTGTTAAATAATGAATTCACGAAATTAAAAAATAACCATTTACTAAAAAGAAAAGAAGAAAGCGAATAAAAGAAAGATTTTATAAAAACAACCAGATAAATCAAATTAAATCCCAATAGTAGATCTATTGTTTTTAAAAGAAGCTATCTATATTTATTTCAAGATATTATAATTATAGCGTTATCAAGTTACAAACCATTCAAGTAACAACTTATCTTAATGTTCACTAATTTAATTAATTATTCCATATTATTAATACTCTAAAAGGCATGGGGGGTTTGAACAATGTTCACCTTCTCACAATTCACTGTTCGCTTTGGTTTTTTTTTTTTTTTTTTTTTTTTTTTTTTTTTTTTGTAATATTACTCTTAGTTTTTTCCCTCAAAATTTTTCTTTTGCAATTTTTAAATTATTTCTTTTTGATCCCTAAAATTTTAAAATAAAAATTTTAATCCCTACCTAATGCACTACATGCCTTTTCTTTTCTTTTTCTTCGGTTTTTTCTTTACCTTTTTTTATCAATTTATGTTCTCTTTTTATTTAATTTGGTATTAAAATTTTTTAAAATTGTTCATTATTTTTTTTCACTCAAGTTAATGATTATATAATATAT